GCATCCTTGAAGTTACGTTTCCGCTGCTTCACGACGTCGCGACGACATACAGTGGACGTATCCTTGATTGTTTGCATTGAGGGACTTGAAATGGCGCAAGATACGTATTGAATTAACTTTTGGGGGGCAGGGGTGGCACAACCCTAATATATATCGATATCTATAAAGAAGTGCTAAAATGAGTGAATTTGCATTGATCGATGGCACCTCCCACCATCCACAATCCCGACTGCGGACAGGCGAGTTGCGGCTCTTATTAATAAAGCTGCGTGACACGCAAGGGAGTCTGAGGCCGGCCGATAACGTGGACTCTTTTTGTATTTGGCCCGCTTAAGCTTGATGTGCGAGCCACCGTCTGGCCTTTGAGCAGCTTGGCCTGTCAGGCTGATGTATGGCAGCAGCGCTGGTGTGCAGCTCCCCAAGGAGCACGGCCTGTCTGCTAAGTGGGACACGACTGACAGTGAACCACGGCCAATGCGCATCGCCCACCCACCCCCACACCTATCGCTCCGTCATGTGTATGAAACACACACTGTCAAAGGCTGACTGCACAGCATTGACTTTTTTTTTTTTTTTTTTTAAGATAACAAATAATAATACATGTGAAACATCATGATGTGGTTTGGGACAATTTTGTCAATCACGTGCTTTGCATTAACTGCTGGAGTGATTCCTTGAGATAAGAGATTAATTTGTTCCGTGAGCAGGCTTCAGTTACTCGCAAGTCGCAACTCATCTTTCCCAATTGGGATGAATGGGACTGCCAATAATCCAAAGCAGTTACTGCTCCAAACCCATCCAAAAAGTAAAATGTATGAGAATGTTTGTCATTACTATTGGTGAAATGACAGGTTTGATTTTAGTGCTTGGAAGAAAGCAGCAGTTGGCTAACTAATTGACTAAAATCAAGCCTGACTAGTTTTTCGTGAGTAAACAACCTGTCATACAAATTGAGACAGTAAGTAAACAGGCTTTCTCAGGCCCAACTAGTTTTTTGTTGCCAAAACTATCTGCCATGGAAAGTGAAACAGAACAAATTGGATTTCACTATTTGGCAGCAGGCTAACTCAGGCCCGACTAGTTTGTTTTTACGACCTTAATGGGTTGGTGTGTAATTCAGACAAGGTAGGAAACCACAAGTATTATCATTGTAAGTATTTCCGCTCCACTTATACTGTTCCCAACCAAATTTAAACAAATGGAGTGAGGTCCAGCTGACAGACCAATTTAGCTTGAGGCTATGTCTACATTTCGGAAACTTAGGTTGCTTTAGAGTGTTTTTTTTTTTTTTAGGTCACTACACTTTCCAATTGCATTTTTTTTTCTGATTGATTCATGATCATCATTCATATAAATGAGGCTATGTTGCTAAGAAGTAGGCTCTCACTATTTAGCAGCAACCATGAGAGCGCAAAAGTCATTCAGTGCCCAACTACAGTTGCTTGCTGCCTAAGGGGGCTGCTACAGGCATTTTGTCAATTCCCGTGGAAGACTACAGCCGTTTAAACACTTAGCTGGCTAGCTCATTTGAAAGAATACAACCCTATTAATCTCTGAAACCGCTTTGTGCTGCGAGCCAAAATTCGACAAACAAAAAGGTTGCAGATAATCCGGCATTAGATGGTGGCAGCAAACTTCACAACATCCGGCCACCATCAGTTCACATTAATTACCTCGCAGTGAAAGTACAGGTAGGAGTAGCGGTTTTGTTTTGTGCTCAGAATTTCTTTTCTTTTTTTTTTTTTTTGCCGAATTTCTTGTTTCTGACCGCGGGTTGTAAGAAAAAAGAAGTGGATAATATCTGCTGAATGAAATCATGAAATCATCTGAACATATGAACATTTTGAAAAACAAATAGTGAAAATTAGATTCAGCAGTAGTGAAGTGAAAGAAATGTTGCATATCCTCTTTTGGGTTTTATACAGTACAGCACTTGTCAAGAGTTTGTATCTAATTGTAAAACATGTCACATATTTTGAGGGCTGTTCTTTTCCTGCCGCAAATGGATTCAACGGCATTTCCATTCATTTCAACGGATAAAACTGATATGGTATAAATGTAAAAACTGTAAGTCTAATACTTCTTAACCATAGCCATTGTTTCCCCCCCCCCCCCTTTTGTGCAACTTTGTTCAGTTTTTGTGCGAAAGGTTCCCCTGTGATGACACATCTTCTGGCTGGCGCTCAGACCGCGGCGATGCCCACAGAGATGTCCACTCATTTGCGAGTCCCACACAGCAGCTGCTGTGTGACCGAGACACGCAGCCAGTCAGCCAGCCCCCCCTTACACCAACCACCCCCATCTTCTATGCTCTTTTGTCCACGCTGACCCACTCAGGACGCCATCACGATGACACCCACACCCACCCACGCGCAGCTTATCCCGCCGTGGCTACCCTCAAACGCACACACTCACACAGATATATCCATATCCCCAACCTCATTAAACTTTTAACCCCATCACCACCTTAAAATAGCCTTTCTCCACCCCCCTCCTCCGAAATCTGCCTAAAATCCATCACATTTCCATTTATCTTCGCGCAGAGTAGGGGTGTTGTATGATGCAAACATATTTGTTACATATTTGGAGTCTCTTGTGTTGTGAAATCCCCAAATAATTAGGAACAGTGACAATGCCAAAAGCAGCGTGAAGATGCAATTTCTGGAGAACTTGCATGTGAATGCTGAAATGGTGAATGAAAAAAAGTGGAATGATATTGAAATTGAATCACGTGGAAAGATATGGAATGACATTGGAAGTTATGGAAGGAAGCGGACTGATTTTGGTGTAAAATGTGGAAAATGTTCGTGAAAATGTGGAATGATATGGAATGGTACTTGTAAAAATTGTGCAATATGTCAATGAAAAATGCAGAAGGATCTTGAATGACATGCAATTATATTAATATACTGTATATCGAATGATGTGGAATGATTGAAATTATCCATCCATTTTCAACACTGCTTATCTTGAACAGGGTTGCGGGGAGTTGCTTGAGCCTATCCCAGCTCACTTCGGGTGGAACGCAGACGACACCTTGAACTGGCCGCCAGCCAGTCACATAAAGAGACAAACAACCATCATACGCCCACAATCACACCTAGGGACAAATTAGAGTGTTCAAGCAGCCTGCCATGCATGTTTTTGGAATGTGGGAGGAAACCGGACTACCCGGAGAAAACCCATGCAGGCCCGGGGAGAACATGCAAACTCCACACAGGAAAGCCAGAGCTAGAATCGAACCCACAACCTCTGCACTGTGAGGTCGAAGCGCCAACTACCGGGCCACCCTGAATTGGGTGGGTATTTGGGGGTGAAAATGTGGAACTGCGGGAAAACTGTGAATTGTTGGAATGACATGTATTTTTGGAATCTGTTGAAGTTGGAATGGTGAGAAGGTGAAATCTGGAAGGGGGAGCATTTCAAACTAGTGAGGAGAATGAAATGTAAGAAAGCTAAATGGTGTACAGTAGAAAAACGTGTGAATACTTCCAGCATTGACACAATCAAATACCTGCATGAGTGCAGGGGGTGTCCCGCCACCAACTACAATTCTAAAAATAAAATCTCAGAGGAACTGTTATAAAAAGCCCACTTTCCATCCATCCATTATCTATAGCGTGTGCCCTCATTTGGGTTGCTGTTGTGAGCTGGAACCTATCCAAGATGACTCTTTGACAAGCGAAATGGCCTACAACCTAGACCGGTCAACAATCAATGAAATACAAGTAACTTTCTGTGGTGATTGTTCTCATAGTGACTTTTGCAGAGAGAGGTGGGGTTCACCCAGGTGTGGTCGCCAATCAATTACTGGGCCCATTTAGTCAATCAACCATTAAACAAATTCAGAGTCTTCAAATTTTGCTTGTAATATAACATGTTTGCATGTTGTGTAACACCCACGCAAGACCAGCAAGCTAAACACTGTTTCACTGTGCTGCCCACCCCAAACATGAAACACAGAAATGCTCATCCATCCATTTTTTTATGCGCAGGGCACATATCGCCAAACAACCATTAATACCTCAGGCAAATTATAGCGTATTCAGTGAACGCAGGTTAGATGAAACATACATGTTTTTGGAATGTGGGAAGAAGCTGCAGTAACTGGAGAAGAAAAATGCAAAAACCATACTGGGGAGATTCAAACCCAAAAACTCTTAAGTGTGAGGCACATGTACTCGTATGTGCGTAGTATCCACTCATCCCATCCATCCATTTTCAATAGCGCTTCTCCATATAAGTATGCTATCCCAGACTACAACCTGAACTGGACGTCAGTCAGTCGCAGTGCGCATATAGAGACTGACAACCATTTCCACGGTCAGTGGGGACTGAACCTACGCGGCATGCACCCAAGTCAAGCCAAAGCAGATCATCATAATCCATCATAAAAAATAAAAAAAAAAAAGAGCAAAAATATTTGGCATGGCCCTGAGAGGAAATGCTGCATACCAGTGATTCTCATCACTGCCTAAGTGCAGTTCGGTTGTATTTAACTTTGTAGTTCAATACATTGGCATTTCATCTTTAAGAAATGTTTTTGATTAAATATTTATTTAGAAATGATGTTACTTTTATGTTCCAGACATTTTGATTGGAGCATTTTAAGGTTTCTTATATTTGAGTGCAGTGTTCATTTTCAAATTGTGCTTAATGTCACAGTGGCTTACAATAACACGGGGTGGATTTGAAACAAATCCGAATTGTACTGTTCACCCAGCATGAAAAAAAAATCTGATACGTGTGACATATGGGCAAAATAAATCTGAATTGAGCTGCAGTGTGAACATAGCCTACAGATTTTAACGAACAAAACACTGGTCTCGTCGCTATATTTCAATATTGGACATGTTGGTACTACTTTGAGTGACAGTAAGTAAAAGTCCCTGTCAAAAGTTTGAAAACCACTGCCATACAGTCGAAGCGCGATGTGCACAAAGTTGACAAGTCCAATATGAATGCATTTCTCAAAAGCAACTCAATCAAACTCCACTTACTCTGCACGACTTCCTGGCCATCTTGCCGCTCAAGTCATATTTCCCCTTTAAGTCCCTGAGCAGCCTCTCCAGGTTCGCCTTCTCCTCTTTGCCGCTGTAGTCCGGGTCCAGGAGCACGTAGGCCCTCCAGTTGGCCGAGTCGAAGCCCCAGTGCACGGTCCGGTTCTCCAGCCGCTTGTGGCTGTGCACCACGAACTTCCGCGGCGGGAACATGAGCCTGCAATCGAGGCACTGCACGCAGGCGGCTCCGGGGCCAGAGTAGAGCTCCGGCACAAACAAGCCCTTGCATCGGCCGAAGCACTCGTGGTATACCCGGAAGCTGGCCTCGGTGCGCTCCAGCTCCAGAAGGACGCCGCCTCCGCCGCCGCCGCCTCCTCCTCCTCCGCCGCCGCCGCGCTCCTTGCTTCCTCCGCCGCGGCGCGGCGGGTACGACCCGCCGTAGATGAGCGCGTTGCACAGGCGCTCGGCGTCCGTCTGCGTGATGAGGCCGCAGGAGGGCGCCGAGAAGGGCAGGATGCCCACCACCTTGAGGATCTCCAGCTGGTCGGCAGTGCAACGCGAGCAATAAATGTGCAAATCGTCGCACACCGAGTTGATCTGCTGCAGGGAAAAGTCCCGTAGCACGCTGTTGAGAATCTGCGGTAGGCACAGGCGCTTCTCGCCGCCCACCACGAAGCAAGAGATGGGTTCGCGCTCCAGGAGTGTCTCGCAGCGCTCCGTGGAGCGGTCCGACGGGATGAAGAGCGGCCCGGACATGACCGGGGGAGTGTGGGCCGGCAGGCTTAGCACCATCTCGGCTTTGGCGTCCTTGAACAGAGACTCCTGGTGGTGCCACCGGGCGGAGAACGCCGCCGGTCCGCTGAGGGAGCGCATGGAGCTCAGATGGAACTGCTTCAGAGTTTGCTGAAGTCCAGGGTGAGGCTGGAAGCTGCTAACCTCCATCTTTTTCTTCTTTCTTTTTTTTGGGATGTGTGTGAATAACAAAGGCTAAAAACTTTGGGAAAAGAATCGCTTTACTCGTTTCAAGGCGTCTCGTTCACTCTTCGTCCGAGCTGAGCATTTCCACGCCGCCAGTCAGACAGCTTCCCCCGGACAAGGAGCAGCTTTCCTTCCCGGTGCGGCCCATTCAAAAAAAAAAAAAAGAGGACTCAAATGGCTTGCCCTATCCCTCTCTTTCGCTCTCCCTTTTAATAAAACAGCTTCCCGCAGTCGGAAAAAAATCCCCAAAAGAAAACTCAGCATACAATCACGAGTGTTGTTTCTTACGCGCCCCACAGCCGTTTTACGCACTCCTATGTGCGCCTCAAATGTGCAACCAAGTCAGTCTCTCTCTCTTCGCGCGCCCGCTCTCTCTCTCTCTCTCTCTCTCTCTCTCTCTCTCTCTCTCTCTCTAACTCCCTCCCTCTCTCTGTTTGTTTGTGTCTGCTTCAGTCATTGAATCCCAGCCAGGAATGTGACTGACTCCCCGGGCTTTGGCTCTTCCCGCAGACAGCTGTGACTCCCACTGCTACATGGCAGCTGCACACCAACTAAGAAAAAAAAAATCCTTCCGAAGTGAGGCGAGGGGTGGAGCGTCGAGGGGAAATATGTTGTATAAGGGAGGAAAATGATTCAAAATGTTGAGAGCCCGGAAGATTCGCTCCTAAACAATAAAACAGAAGTTAAATTTCAGTTCATTAAATTGCAGTTAATCATATTTATCATAAAATCAAGACATGTTGATATTTGTGTAAGTATAAATTATAATATATACGTTTTAGGAAGTTTTTGTGAATGGTTTTTTTTCAATTTTCAGAGTTTTTTTTTAGTTTTGGTGGGAATATTTTTTTTGGTTTATGTAAGTAAATTGAATTCACCTTGAAAATGAAAAATCAATTAAAAAAAACACTTTTTCTTCCCCAAAGTTGGGTTAGCTTTTTTTCCATCAAAAATATTTGACCATCATTGTCATTTACTCTCACAATCTAGAAATATAAATTATCTTGAGAAAATGATTCAAAATGTTGAGAGCACGGCAGATTCGCTCCTTTACAATAAAACAGAAGTTAAATTTCAGTTCATTAAATTGCAGTTAATCATATTTATCATAAAATCAAGACATGTTGATATTTGTGTAAGTATAAATTATAATATATACGTTTTAGGAAGTTTTTGTGAATATTTTTTTTAAAATTTTCAGTTTTTTTTTAGTTTTGGTGGGAATATTTTTTTGGGGTTTATGTAAGTAAATTGAATTCATCTTGAAAATGAAAAATCAATTCCGAAAAAAAACACTTTTTCTTCCCCAAAGTTGGGTGAGCTTTTTTTTCATCAAAAATATTTGACCATCATTATTTACTCTCACAATCTAGAAATATAAATTATCTTGGAATTATACGACAGAAAAAAAAATGTCTTCATTTTTACAGTAGTTCGATTTTAATCTTGAAATATAACTAAAAAATACTTCAGTGTAATGTTGATTTTAATCTGTAAACATATATTTAATCTTGAAAACCTACAATTTAATTTTCATGATTGACTTTAATGTTGAAAATACAAGTATTACTAATATTTACTGGTATTGTCATCATAATGAAAGATTATCTTATATATATTTAATCTTGAAAATCTACAACTTCATTTTCATGCTTTTATGACTTTAATGTTGAAAATACTAGTATTACAAGTACTTACTGGTATTGTCATCATAATGAAAGATTATCTTAAAGATACAACTTGATTCTCATGATAAAAGTTACTGTACTACAGTAACTTCAAGGTAAGATTACAGTGTCTGTAATTTTGTAATTAGATGTCGACAAAACTCTTTTTTTTAAACCACTAAAGTATATATTTTTTCCTATATATGATGAATGACCACAATAACGACCACAAATTTTGAAACATTTCAATTCTCATCGCGTTTTTGTTTTTTTTACACCGATCACATGTTTCTTTTCCTTTTGCTGACCACAGGAGAGCGCTATAAATCAACAAATGCATTTTGGACCAGACTGCACGTACCACATCATACCTGTAGCCTGATGCACTCAAAGGAACAGTGTGCAGTGTAAAAACAACTACAGAAACTGTATATTTTATTATTAGACCATAAAAGGCAGGTGATACAAGTTACTGTATTACAGTAACTTCAAGTTAAGATTACAGTGTCTGTAATTTTGTAATTAGATGTAGACAAAACTTTTTTAAAATCACTAAAGTAGATATTTTTTCCTATGTATGATGAATGCCCACAATAACGACCACAAATTTTGAAACATGACTCAATTCTCATCGTGTTTTTTTTTTTTTTTTTTTACACCTATCACGTTTCTTTTCCTTTTGCTGACCACAGGAGAGCGCTATAAATCAACAAATGCATTTTGGACCAGACTGCACGTACCACATCATACCTGTAGCCTGATGCACTCAAAGGAACAGTGTGCAGTGTAAAAACAACTACAGAAACTGTATATTTTATTATTAGACCATAAAAGGCAGCGATACTCGAGAACATAAATACACTTGTAGCATATCTAATTCGTTTTCTTTAATCTGGACTGCTGCTACTTCTTCCGCCAGCAGTCCAGCGAATAAGGCATAAATGAATGAGGTCAACCTAAAAAGAGTGAAGAATCCAGTGCAGTAAAAAAAAAAAAAACACAACAAAGATCACACGAGGCATCACCAACGTTGCATTGAAACAGCTGCTTTAAACTGACTAATTGAAAGCACTTGGCAACCGAAAGGAGATTTATTTTAACGATACAAAATGCTTAAAAGAACGCAAACCGTACCTTATTACAGCACCACATCTAATATTTACATTTAATGTTCCAGTGCTGTGAAACACCGTTAAGATGATGTTCAACTTGAAAATGTTCAACTGGAGCCACTTTAAGACGCCTTTAAAAGCACATTCCCCCATCTCAGTCCATCTTCTTCATTAAGACCACAAATCTCAAAAGCTTGTTTACGTGATGCCCGTCATCTACCTAATCCTCCTTTTTGCCCTTGAAATCACACACTTATGTCCTCATAGTAAATGTTACACGTTGGACTTAAATCAAGGCGGTACTGCGCTAATTCACACAGGCCCAGGTATGGTAACAGAACAGAAGACATCTGAGAATATTTCCTCGCCAAGGAGGATGGTCTCGCGATTGTCCTCCTCCCAGCCATATCTAACCTACTTTTTCGAAGCAACATTGGAAAACATGGGCTTCTCAGGAGTGTTATCAGTCCAGAGATAATCACGTTCAGCCCAATTCCGGCGGCTTGTTGTCATACTGCGGCGGCGGCGTGATGGGCTCGATGGTTACCGGGTTGTGCGTGGGGCTGCGGATTTGGATGCGAAAGTCCTTCAGGTGCAGCTTGTCAGACTTGATCCGCCTCACCCGCAGGGGGCGCAGCAGGCGGCTGGCCCGGCTGCCGCTGCGCGCCGGCAGACTGGGCTGCCGGGCTGCGTCAGCTTGCTGCTCAGCCACGGTCGGCGGCGGTGCGGGGTTGTTGAGGGGAGAGTCCTCAGTGGCCTGGTCTCTGTCCTCGTTCTCCACGGCTGCGATGATGTCCTCGTAGGATGGCAGGTGGGTGTTGCTTTGGCGGAGGTTGCTCTGACGCACAGGATAGTCGCTGCTGCCGACCACCTCGTCGTAGCTTGGCACATTGAATGCGGCTGGATCTGGAACACTGGGGATCATCAATAAAAACGCCATCAGACACCTTGAAGGCCCGCCGAACACTCAGCGGCACTGGCGAACACGACTGAATTGGATAGTTGTGAACAAATGATGGTGGGCAACACACCCAATTGACCCTCGCACGTATACCAACTCGCTGCAACGGGAAGCTGTGAACCAACGAGTTCCATATCGGGAAACAATGTTTTGAAGCGCTGCATATACTGTAATGCAGTGGTCCCCAACACCCGGGCCGCGGACCGGCCCGGGTGTCATTTTGTACCGGGCCGCACAGAAAGAATAAATAATGTACATTACTTCCGTTTTATTTATTTCGGACTCTGAAAGATGTTTTATTTTGAAAAATGACCGGATCCTCTGTTACATCTCTCGACAGTATGTCACTCTTGACGCAGGTGAAGGCGGCACTTCTCGGTCAGGTGATAGGTTACCGCTAAAATGAAACCCGGGAGCTAGCAAAATGAGTAAAAAAAAAAAAAAAAACAAAAAAAAAAACAACCCATGCATCTTTGGGAAGTTTCTTTTGGAAGGAGAAGAGACCCAGGCAGGAGACAGAAGAGGAGCCTATGACTTTCAAGAAAAAGAAGGCTACATTTAATAGACAGTATCAGGAGTCCTACTTAAAATATGGATTTATCTCAACGGGAGATTCCCATGCACTCAGCCCACTCTGCATGACATGCGGCGATGGTGAGTCGTATTTTTCATGCACTTTGTATTTGCGGCTTATCTTATTTTGAAGGCACGTTGAAACGTTACCACAGCGACCAGAAAGCGTTGCGGTCAGATAGGAGGTTCCTCATGTCATGATTCGTGTTTATTATGTTTTGAAAATACCACAGTTTTCATGCAGGTCATATCATATTATTTTGTTGTATTTTTCCGTCACACCTTAAAGGCCGGTCTCTGAAAATATTGTCCGACATTAAACCAGTCCGTGGGACAAAAAAGGTTGGGGACCGCTGCTGTCATGTATTATTTGTTTATTCAACCACAAATAACATGGTGTGGCAGTCAAAGAAGAAATTGTTTGCCCTGACCGCTGTCCCTATCAGGACAACAAAAAAAGAAATTGTTGAGAAATAAAGGGTAGAGGTTGGATATTTCTTGGCAGTTTGTACTTTGTCATCATTGTCAGAGTCATTTAGCCAACAGAGAATCTCTACAATTCACTTTTTTGACACGAGTTGGAGACAGTGGGCTCCTCATAAAAACTAATTGTAGAACACTGCGCGCCAGTTCACTCGCGTTGCTCCACTTTGCTAAATGTGCGCCAGGCCAAAGGCTGTGGTTGGACAACAAGGATTCACAGGACAGGCTGTCCAAATAAAGTGGGCAAAACACACTGTAAACTCGTGACATTCACATTCCCGCGAGTGGCTCACAAAGTTGCAGTTCATCGCTGCCTTGGTGTTTTTTTTAAAACCCAAACACTTCCAGACATCTGCCTTCAGGCTTGTTGGCGCTGATTTCAGTGTTTTGATACGCAGCTCTTGCATGGTGATGAGATCTCGTGCGACCCAAGAAATCACATGAATTTATGGGGAAAAAGATGTACTAAAAGGATCATAGCCAATATCGGGCTATGAAAAGGAAACTCGATTCGATTCATCGATTTTTAAAAAAAATGCTCCTACTAGCCACTTGCTTTTATCTGTGAGACATTTGCTGTGAGTTCTTGCGACCTAGCTTTTTTTCAATGCTTTCTATTTGTTTATAATGCATAAAAACAACAAAGTATGGAAAGACCAATACAGCCGTGCCAATTTGTGGAGGAATATGAAATTGAGCAGATTTGGACAAACGAGGTTTCACTCGACAGCGCCAATATGGTGACTGGTGGCCCAACGGACTGTTGGACACCAGGTCTTGGGTAAGGTTCGGCGCAACTGACTTGCGATTGCCATCTGCAGGGCTCCTTTCTGGCCATACACAAAACAATGTGCGGGTATCCACTGCTGTTATCTGTTTCTTGTCGCAAATTACATTTGCCAGTCATTTTTGGGGAAACAAATTAGTCGCCAGAGTGGTCAGAAAAGTTGCTAAATTTAATAACTCCATTGCTAATTTGGCAAAAATTACTGCTTTTGTAGCCATGTTGTTTGTGTCAGCGGTGCATATTGGCTAGGATGACGGAAAAATACGACACATATGGATGTATAATAAAGGGTGAAACGTTCAAACTGTTCTGAAGAGCACCATACTCACTCTGATTGCTCGCCTGCCGTATGGTCCATGAAGGTCGATGCCATTGGCGCCTCTGTTTGCTCGCTGCTGTTATTGGCTCTACGCTTGCTCCGAACGCCGAGGCAAATGGAGAGGAGCAGCAGGGCGAGGCCGACGCCCACCAGCACCATGGCGACCGACGACGACTTGGAGAGCTGCCCTTGTTCGCTGTCCTCGTTGTCGTTGTCTGCGGTGGAGTTGCTGGACGAGTTGGTGGAGCCGCCCGACACCTCCCCGTCCATGGGGATCACCGTCCATACGATCATGACCACCCCCAGAGCGATGAGGCCCACTCCCAGGGCGCACAGGGCATAGTGAGCCCCCGAACCGGTGCTCTCAGAGCGGGAAGACCGGTTCGCGGGTTGCTCGCCGCTGTTGCAAATGCCTCGACTCGAACACATCCCTGCAGGACACACTGCAACAAACACCAAGGTTACTACAGAGGGTTCATGGGTTAGCAGGCTTAGGGATCCTAAAAAAATAACAACTGAACTTATACTTGTCAGGGGACTTAACTAAAGGATTACATCCATTTTGGAGTCAGTTAAAACGAGTACGAGACAAGGTTGCCTCCTTCTGTCTAAGAGAAATAGTGCAGCACCCCAAATCCTGGAAACTACTGATTGAGGAAAAAAACAATAAATTAAGTCATGATATATATTTTTTATTTGTATTTCTTGCATTTCACACATATTTGTATTGTATACAGTGTACACACAGATATTTTAGAAGCGGATTTTTGTGGGCGGTCCCGATCTTGATCTCCGCTGTATTTGTGTATTTTAAATCTAACATATTTATGTATATTTTTTGCCACTGCCTTTGTATTATTTCTAATATTTCTGTATTTTCATTTAATATTACTGAATTTATTCCTAATGTTTCAGTATTATTCAGTGTGCATGTTTGTCCAACATTTTGTATTTATTTATGTATTTCAGTTTTTTTTATTTTTGCTCATATTTCTGTTATTTAAATTAATCCCCTAATAATTTGTAAGTTTGAATTTGTCATATTTTTTGTAACATTTGCGCTAATTTTTTCCATCTACTGCTTTGCTTTTACATTGTAGTCTCTCTAATATTTGTCAGATTTCTCAGTTTTCCCCCTAATATCTCTATTTCCTTTTTTTAGATTTCTGTAGTTGTCATGTGTGATCCCACAAATACATATTTTCTGTCTTCCTCTTTTGTGTATTTTTCATCTAACAAGTTCCATTTTTTCTAATAAATCTTTTTCCCGTTTAATATTTTTTCTCGAATTTTTCAGTATCTTCACCTAATATTTTTGTACCCTTCATTTGATAAGTTTGCATACCAGTACTATATTTTACCTAACATGTATTTTATATATTTGTAATTTTTGATCGCAACATTTTGTTTATTTTTGCTCATAAAAGGTATTATTGTTGTATTTTAATAATATTTCTGGTAACATGTACACATTGGCCCTCATAGGTGCAAGCGTAGCTCATGCTTTGACTTAATTGTGCCACCTCCATGAGGAAAGAGATTTTTCTGAGCCATGTCGCAATAGCATGAGAACCGTGATCTTTTTTGCTCACTACAACCGTGATATGATTACAGCGTCTTCTCATCTCTCATTATTACATGTCATGTCAATCATTAACCTCGCCACATAGTGGGCTGCAGTTCCCGCTGTATCTGTCACAGGTTCCTGCTCAATAGTGAGCCTAGCTCAACTTCAGCGTCCTTCAGCTTAGCACAAAGGAGGGGGAACCTCCATTTAATAGTTGCCACTTTTAAGCCCCGTTAATCTTCGTCTTTATTACAAACCACATGGGGACACGTAACTAAAACGATAAGTTAATGACCATCCCCTTGGCCATGGTAAATTGAACAAAACCATTGACTTCCTTAATGGGTGACTTACCTTACCTGAGTCACACACACAGGTGTGTACGCCCAGCTCACGCGCACATCGAAACGAACAAAAATACGAGTCCAAATAAAAGAGGCCTGTCCGGAATTTCAAACGTAGTATTTAAAAGCAGCGACTGTGCGGTAGTCCTTCACTTTTATTGGGTTGAATGTAACTTTGGTCCAAACTACCAGCGGCTTCGTTAGTGGCAAACCTCCCCCCTTCCTTCCTGCTCGGCTGGAAGGAGCGCGCCTCTGAAAGTGCAGTGAGCCGCGAGGTCCTAGCGCCGCTCAATGTTCTTAACAAAATGGGTTGAGGCTCTGCCATCGTTATTTTTTTACTTCTGAAGAAAAAAAAAATTGCCATTTTTTCCCCCCGTTTCATTAAACTGACATGCATTTTTTGAAATGGGGGTGGACACCGACAAAAAAGTACCCGATAAAAACCCAGGCACACATAGGGAGAACATGCAAACTCCATCCAGGAAGGCCGGAGTCGGAATTGAACCCTACACCTCTGCACTGTGAGGCGGACGTGCTAACCAGTTGGAAACCATGCTGCGTAGTTAGTCAGCTAATGAGCATTAAATGAACTGTAAAGATATCTAAATACGGCCTCTCATGCAATCCTCGCATCAAACGAAGGCAGCGGGTATGCGTGTTTGTACCGAAGGGTGGCAAACTACCCAGCCAGCTTAGCAAAGAGGTCACGACACAACGGTTAGGAGAATTAAAAAAAAAAAACAACACCCTGGGTTCTGTTGTTGGTCAGGGTACGGCGAGGGTTCAAGTAAACTATTTTCAACTAAATAGGAAAACATTTCCATTGATTGTCACAGCTATGTCAGCACGCCGTTGTAGGCAAAAGCCATGCTTTCAAACAAGTGACTATGAAAGCACTTTGGAGATCGTATCAGAGATGAGGCACTAATATAATTGCACTCCATTTACCAATTTGATCATATTAGATTTTTTATTCGCTGGCTGGACGATGACATGTTTTTTTGGAAGAGTGCAAGATCCATTCGATCATCATTCGCTGACATCAACATGAATAGTGAATGGAGATTTTGTGTGCGAGTGCAAGCTCTTCTGCTCATACTAAACACATTTTGGGCCTGTATACGGGGAGCCCTCAAGAAAAGCATCCACATTTTTGATCACATTTTAATGAAACTGAATGAGAGCTTCATGTTTGAAAAACCACGTGAGCAAATTCCTTCAAGTGTTTGGTGTCTCTATGCAGGTAAGAACTCGTCTTGCTTCAAAAACATGCATGGAGACGCCCACAAAGAGGCGGCCGAGCCTGTTTTTTTTTTTTACTCTTTGAACCACCTGAAGTGGGTGTTTTAACATAAAACAGCAGATAGTAGTCATATTTTTGCCTCCTTTTCTAAAGATAACGCAGTCCGTAGAAAAAAGTGTGGTAGTTAATTTTATTCATTTGACCTCTAGGGTGTTCAATGCAATTTTCCAACAGACTTTTGGCAAGAGATGGAGAGAAAACACCCCAGAGTACTCAATCTATATACAGTAGACAGACAACAAATCACACTGATGGTACAAAATTAGCTGTTACTTTAGTTTTCTTATTGCGCAGAACCTTCATGGTAGGTGTTCAATATCTGTCCAAGCAGAATTTGGTGTGGGAAACAGGATGAAACACCCTAGATTTGTTTGGCAGTGAATCAAAAAAATATATGTTGCACATTTATTGTTTTCAATGAACCTAACGTGCATGGTTTGCAAAGATGAGAAGTAACTACAGAAGCAGTCAAATGTTTGAGCACACTTCATTAAATGAAAACATGTCCAAACTTTGCTATTATTAAATCGAATGAAAAAATGAATACGATAAAACATTTATAAACAATATAATAGAAATGACTGATGATTTTTAAGCACCTGTTAGATTTTCTTTATTCTGAAGTTTTTCAATTCCCTACAAAAGTGAAAAAAATGAAATGACATAACACAACAAAAATGTTTTGTTCAATAAATATCAGGAACCAGTATGAGATAAGGCAACAGTGGATCAACCCTGAATTTATTGATGAAATAGTCTTGTCATTAGTGTGATTTATTCAAAATGTCAAGAAATGTACAGTCTATATCAGGGGTCCCCAACCTTTTTTGCCCCACGGACCGGTTTATGTCAGACAATATTTTCAGGGACCGGCATTTAAGGTGTGGCGGAAATAATACAACAAAATAATATGGTATGAGCTGCATGAAAACGGTGGTGTTTTCTAAATATAATAATAAACACAAGGAGCGTCTAATCTGGCCGCAACACTCCAATCGCTATGGCAATGTTTAATGCCTTCAAAATACGATACAACGCAAATTCAAAGTGCATGAAAATGACGACTCACCACAGCACCGAGCTTGATTTTCTGCAACCAGACGGTCCCATCTCGGGGTAATAGGAGAGACAATGACACCGCAAGTGTGTGGTTTATGTCCAGTCTACTTCGTAATTTTGCTTTCGTCGCCGTTGCTGCAGAAACCCCCCGCCTCACACAGGTAGGATGTCGGAAATAGCAAAAGTGCTATTGTGGCGATCTCAGAGTATTCAGACATAACTTTAATCCAGTTGTCTCGAACGTACTTTTAAGGCCGCCGTCATTTGCGATCTCCAGCAGTTTTTTTACTCATTTTGCGAGCTCCGGTGTTTGTTTTTAGCCTAATTGGTCGCGTTACAGAGAAGCGTGGCTTGACGTGTGTCAAGCTAGACACAGACGGATGTAGGTCATCTGTATTTATTTTTACATTATCTGTACATTAGTCATTTTATTCTCACCAGTTATTCTTGCAATTAAAGGAATATTATGCATTTTCGTGTCTTGCTGAAATGAGCCAATTTTGAGAGAGCGGTCCTGTCTCATGCAATGGGACATGACAGCAGGGGCATGCGTTTCAAATAGTGAAATGGCTTGAAAGTGGCTGAGGATCTTTTCCCAGCCTAGCTGGTCAGTTGTCATATGACGAGCAAAGAAACGCAGATTAGGTGGTTATGTAAACTAGCTCCGTTGTCACATAACAATGCGGCAAAAATCAGAAATAGGCTGCTAAAAGTTTTACTTGATTGTTCAATTTCATTCTTGATGGCTGGGTTGTCACTAGTTGCAAACAAGACAACGAAAAGTCAGTTTTCCATTCGATGCCCAGTGATGAGGGAAAGTTGTTCCAGATCAACTAACAATCCAGTGAAGTGCTGTTTTAAGTGTCGTAAACTGTTCCATCACACATTGGTGATCTCGACGCTCTTGTAACCATACACGAGGCTGCGCGAGTTCCGATGTCCCGGCCCAACACCCGCTTCTGTTGAGCGGCTCTGTGCGGGAACCCTCAGCGGACTCTGGAAATGCGCATGACATGAAATGTTTGAATGATGACAGCGAGTGATCTCTACACTCCCATTTTATTATGCGCACACTGACAAACACAACACAATGAAGGCCTTCAAACAACTTCATTATCCTTGCATGACTCCCAAACAGGAATATTTAAAAAATGATTGGATACACATCCTGTATTAGAGTAGGTAGAATTTTATGCTACCTTGCTGGATCTTCTCATCGGCACCCTTCCCTCAGCAAAGCGGTTGACGGCCACTGACGTAGACGAAACGTCCACCTTGCCTTCCTGCTCCTTGTTGCTGTGAACGCAGACCATTTTAAAGGTGTTTAGTAGAAACGCCAAAGTGGAAAACTGTAATTGCAGGGGTAAAGAAAACAAAGTGCCTATCTCAGCAGAACATTGGCGAGAAAGGTAGGGCACAAATGTGCATATTGTAGGCAAACAACCAAAATGTCAAACCAGCATCATGCGTGTGAGACTTTGGGCTCTATTTTCGTGCCCAGCGCAAGACTGGCGTGAGGTCCGGCATGAATCTCCCCCGGGGCGGGCTAGACTTGGTATTGGTATTTTTGGTTGCCAGCCAATTGCAGGGCACACACAGACCAATTATAATTACACCTACGGTCATTTAATTCTCAATGAACCGAACACACTTGAAACGTGAGAGTAAGGCAGAGTACTTGAAGAAAACTCACACAAGTACTGGGACAACGTGAAAACTTCACACAAGGAAGGGCCACAGGTAAGATTCAAACTCGGGACCTCTCAACTGAAAGGCAGTTGTGTTAATTACTCATACACCTACCATACTGTTCCGGCGTTTTAAAACCGTGAGCAGTTTAATTTAATTTGAGTCATATTACGGTTTGCCTCCCTCTACGCATGATGTTCACCTGCTAGCGGTGGCGAGCGCTTTCATCTCTTGGCGGAGATGCTGATGGAGCTTATGTTTGTTAACGGGGATCTCTAACGCTCTTGCCATGGCGTCGGCGTCAAAAGCCGGGTCCAAAACCAGCACGGCACCGTTGATGCCTTTACCCTGAAGATTGGCAGCAAACTCCTAAAAAAAAGATTTATCAGTAGTACTTTGACTTGCGAGTTCAATTTGTCCTGTTGCAGCTCACAACTGGACAAACTCCTTAAAAGGGCCACTTGTATGTCAAGGTACCACCATATATCGTGTATCTTCTGTCCTGGGTAGAGTGCCGCCGTCATGTTCCTCTACTCACCTTAAGATCTATGTCCCTGATCCACTTCATGACTCTGTGACAGGTCCAAACGATGGGGTCCCGGTCTTGCTGCTCACATTTTGCCCTTCTTGCCTGCAGAGCCTGCAAGAGCACAGAGTGAGGTTAGGCAAGTGCCTGTTTACATCAAACGAAGGCATGCGCTGGTCGGACCTCCTTGTGGAAGCCCAGCATTTGCAGGAGCTGCACCGAAAGCAGCAGACTGGTCTGGTGAGAATGGTCGTCCACATCAAGGTATCTTTCCAGGTCTCTGCGGCCCAGTGAACTTAGTACCCGGCCATCCACCAAGTGAGTGTGGAAAGTTTGCGAATACTGCGGCAGGCCTACGTCGCTCAGCCACGATGTCGCCACCCAGTGATGGTCCATGTCAGACGCTTTGGATAAACTGGAATGATGAAGAAATGCAGACCAATTGTGTTACGCAACCTTTATAGAGCCAAGGTACACATTTTACTTCCTGTTTATTCTGGTGGTAATACCAGTGCAGAGCACTGGATGTGCGCACGCTATTTTGTTTGGCACATTGTTAATTTAAAAGAAGAAAAATGAAAACAGGAAATATTTCAGCTCAGCCTGTTCTTTGCCGATTATTTCATGTCAAACCCTCTTCCGACCTCCTTTTTACACATACAGAAAGCCTAAACATGGCAGTATGATTCATATTGAGTTTGTGCAATATGAATATGCAGCAAGATCCACACTCAGGGGGAGGCCATTTTGCCACTTGCTGTCGACTGAAAATTACATCACAGTTGTTCAGGGCTCAGATAACATCCAATCCCTACTCACCAGTTTTCTGGGTTTGCTCACGTGACTTTCTCAAGGTGGGCCCTGATTACATTTTATTGGATGTGTTCTGTTGAATAATTTTGTTATTTTATGTTAAATGTTCTGTAAAATGCTTTGTTACAGCTGCAGCTGTTGTGAAAGCACTACATCAATAGAGATGTATTGTGACAAAATGGCTGCCCCCTGAGATAGATAAAAATGGCTGGGTTTTGCTGTTTTAATTCATATTCCACAGATACAATGTTAATCAGAATAGCGTATTTCGACTAGTGGGGCCGCATAGAAAATATTATTGTTCAGAAAATTTCATTTCACTTTTAACAATTAACAATTGGTGTTGCTCACCCTTGGTCCCCTTCAGCTTTCCTGTAGTCCTCGATGGCCAGTCTTAGTTTCCTGCGATGGATCGGGTTGCTAATGCCAAGTCCCACCTCTAAATCCTCATCAGTCAGACCAAGAAGAACCTAAAATGTGAAGCGCCGTCTTTTTTATCTGATGATAAAAGCACTGAACGTGCGGCGCGCTCTTTAGCATCCACTTACCTTGCCACTCTTGACATGTTCACAACAGGCCCGCGTGGACGTAGGTATTCCCATGACCACTTCCAGCCAGGCTTGGACAGCACCCGCCCTCCACAGAGACATGCATGTGGTGCGGGTGAGCGTTGCCTGCTGGAGGCGATCCAGTTGCTCTTCGCCGTCGGACACGAAGCTGTTGTAGTCTGCGGTCGGTCGGAGTTACGGTGTCGGCATGCACGCGGGGTCAGGCATCAAGAGTTAGAAGGATAAGGACATCATAAAAATGACTGAAGGGATTTCATTTCTTAACGAGCCAGAGGCTCATAGCATGAAAAACAAAACACAACTTTAAAATGTGTGTGTGTCTAACTGACCACTTATTGGGTACGAGGCAAAAGAAATGATGAAAGCGGATGCAGATACAGGTACGAGGATAATGATGTCAAAGTAGTTTTACAGTTACACTAAAACCCCAGAAGCGTTCATGGTTTTGATGAAAAATTATCAAATTAAAATAATCAACAATTAGGGAAAATAAGGCGGTTACATATTTGAAATACGTTTAAATATGCAACCGCCTCATTTTCGTTAAGTGTTATTTTAATTCAATATTTTTTTGCCCACACTTTTTTTCTGTGTGATTGTACCCAAAAAGAAACACCAGAAACAATTGTAAATCTTTGCGCGCGCGCGCGCGCTCACACACACACACACACACACACACACACACACACACACACGCACACACACACACACACACACACACACAACCCACAATTAAAAATACTGTATTGAATATTTTTTCTTTTCAAAAGGTAAGCTACAAAAATGTTTTAAAAATAAGAATATTAAATATACACTGTAATGAGATTTTAATTGTAGATGTATGCAATTAATTTCTATCAGCTATCTATATAACTACAAAATCCTTATCTTTGTAAAGATAAAATAATTCATCTAAATAATTAAATCAAAAGATACACAACTTTTTATAAATTAAAAGAAAACTGTATGAACAAAGAACAATAACAAAATGGCCTTAAAAAAAGAAACAAAATATATAAATAAAATGTATTATGATTATTATTAAACCCTTGATTCATTTGTTGTCTTGGCTTGAAATTGTACGACCACTAGATGGGGCTACATAGTCTATGACCATACAGCAGCATAGTTCTGCGCATGCATATCTATAACAGACATAAATGGGTCCAACAACTCATTTGATTTAGGAAACAACTCAAACAGATATAGCACTACAGTATATGACATTGTTTTAGTAACTCTGCAACTCTTCAGTAACTAATTATTAAGATGAGTCCACTAGAGCGATGTACAGTATTAGTACATTACTAAGGGGATTATTCCTAAATGAACCGTTGACACTATACCGAACTGACATGCAAGGATGAAACGTTCGTCTGATTCATCCTCATGTACACGGTCCAGTGTCACTTAAAAAAAAAACAAAAACAACAAAAGGTGAGACAGCGTGTGTGACATGAATAATCCCCAGAAAGAAACACCTACAGTGTCTATAAGAAGTCTACACACCCCTGTTCGAAAATCTTATGACAAGGATGAAAGAGCAGAACATTATTATTATTTTTTTCTTTTAATAAACAACCTAATTGTAAAGGTTACTATCATGGTGGAAAATGTTTTATTTCTATCATTAAAACGTGGCATTTGAACAGGGCGGGATGTGTAGACTTTTCATATCCGCTGAAGGCGTAAGAAATGGTTTAAAATAGGAGAGAGGGAAACGACACATAAGAAACAACACTTACTCTGTGGAACATGTGCTGTAGTTTTATTTTAGAAAATAAGATTTCATGTCCAAAAAAAAACCTCTGTCTGCATCAGATAAATATTTTAATTGTGTATTTTTTTTTTTAAATAAAATACTTCCATAGATTTCATCTTTTATTCCATGGTGCTTAAATTACAAAGCATCAAAGAGAGACATGGTCGGAGAGTTTTATACAAACAGGATAACAAAGCAACACGAGCAGAGCAAGGGACCTTGCATTTACAATGCAAGTATCTTGGGATGAAGCAACCTTGATGAATGGATGTATGGCAATGAATGAATGAATGAATGAAAAAACAACAATGCAATGCAGATGTTTTCTCACACATTCATTCATGTTAGACAGCTCTCGGGAAAGAAATGAAGTCAGCAGATGCGAGACTACACTAAATTACCGTACTTCCTCAAACAGTGGCATTTATTAGAGACATGGCAGTAAAAAAAAAAAAAAAAAAATCAAAAATTGGAATTGAAATTTATTGTCATTCTATACGATAAAATGTGTCCCTTACCAAAATTAGAACTATTTTTAAACTATATATTTATAAGAGCAGACTTATTTACACAGGGCATTTTATTAATATTATTTTAATATTATGCAGGTATTTTTGAATATCGTCGCTGTTCTGTTTGTAATTTAAAAAAAATGTTTATGTTCATGCAATGTATGAAACGCAGACAACCCATTCATGTAAAAATGTTTAAAATAAAAATTAAACATAGGTGTTTTTCACAGGACAGCACCTATTATGAAGAGACCTTCCAGTGGCAACCACTTGTCAAACTAAAATTGAGTGAATTCCACACACCATTTTTTTTTTCAGTGTATTTAAACAAAACAGATTACATAATCATATTTAATTTTGTATATTTTACCTTTCTCCACCACCATAGACAAATATTGATCCTTCATTCAAATCCATAAAATAAAAATGTATGTTATAGTATATACACTAATACTGTCTATTTTTACAAACTGTATTATTTAAAATTGCATTATACCAACATAAAACGATCATTTGCCATTGGTATCATGGACTATAGCTGTTTTCTTGAGAGGAAAAGGTTTATTTACTGGAGGTGAGATGGGTCATGCTGAGCTGAGGCCACTATTTGAGGAGATATGGCATTTTCACAGGATGAGAGTCACATTAGGTATGGTCAGTAATTTATCAATTCTCTTTTAAATCCCATCAGTGCGGCCCACTTTGCGATATGATATGACAACACATAATTGCAGAAATAACCATTTTGGGGCATTCAAATGAAGCACGTGCCTGTCCCCCCTCCCCACCACCACCACCACTCAAAAGTGAAATGGACTTTGTTAGATAAAATTCTGCTGTAAAGCGTGATAAAGTAAAAAAAAAAAAAAAAACAAACAGTATAAACACAAATTCTTCCTATTTACACACGAACGGCACATGAAAAGCAGTCCTTCAAGTCTCCAGTTTTTGAAAAAAATATATAACAACATCAAGACAAGATAGTACAGCATGTCTACAAATACTCATGATAATTACCCCATGTATATATTTATATGCATGTAAACATATACTGTACATATGCATACATGTACATCTATAAATATATATATATATATCATTTACATACATACAATCTGAAGGGTGTAATATACTATACATTTGGTGGGTCTCTTTTCTGCATTGTTTTATTGTTTTAAATTTTATTTGATGCTTCCCATCTAAACAAGCCCATTTTACGCACACGCACACACACACGCGCACACACACACAGTATCACCAGTCGGCATCCTCCTCTATGTAATAGTCGGGTGTGGCTGTACCATCAAACAGGCCCGGGTCCAGGGACTTGCGCTGTTTCCCTCGGGCAAAGACGCGCGAAAGGGAGCCTAGCGTCATCTTCTCCTTCTTCTTCTTACGCTTCTGGTCCTCCAGGTCCTCCATGGACTAAAGTGAACACAGAAGGTGCCTAAGTTAGTTGGGGAATACTGCATATGCATTAGCTTAGTGTAAAAAAGCAGTCAGTGAAAAGTGTACAAAAGAAGTTTTTGAGATATTTTAATTTTTTGGTTTTTAAGTTTGACCAATAAATGCTTGCACAGTATGGATTTTACCAAGTGTGGTAATTTACAGCCAAGATGTTTCAGGGGGGAAAAAAAAAAAAGCACCTGTTGCTCAACCTAACACTTTTTTTTTGTTTTTTACTTAATTTGATTAAACAAATTACTATATTACATTTATTATTATTATTGTTGTTATTATTATTATAGTATTATTATTTAAACCTGATTAGCTAGAGAAAAAATAGGGCAGATTCTAAATCAGCAAAAAAAAAAAAAAAAAAACCTGACAAAAAAACAAAAAAAAAAGTTAAAATGTGTTGAACAGCATAGTCAAAAATATATGGATAGAAAAGGGGGGAGGGCTTTAATTTTACAACTGCAATCACATTTAAAAAATGGTAGTGGTAGATCCATCCATCCATCCATTTTCTGATCCGCTTATCCTCACAAGAGTTGCGGGGCGTGCTGTTCGTGGTATATTGCCTTGCAATATGTATTACTTTAATGATCATATTTTCCCAAATAGTGCTCAGGAGTGTTCATTTAACTAATGAGGCGTCTTTTGGGGGTGAGGCCTTGATTTTCAACTGTGTAACCACTGTCGAATTGACAGGGATGTCACTACTCACTTGGTGGAAAAAACAAAAAAGATCATAAAATAATAAGATCAAAGTGGGGATAGCAAAACTCCACAAATAATTGACGCACATTATAATTGCATTGACATTGTTTTTTTGCAATTAGCAATTCGTTTTCCATGGGCATTTTGAGTCAATAGTGGTTTGTCAGTGAATAGTTAGAATGAAACCAGACCACCACCACCACCAAGAAGGCAAGCCAACCCCCCACATCACAACATACACACACACACACACACACACACACACACACACGCACTTCAACACACACATATGCACTCGCACACACAATTTGCGGGCAGTTCTTACATTGCAGAGGGAGTGTGTCCGATGACGGGGGGAGTTGATGTCACTGGGCGTGGACGAGCGGTCCCCGTCGGCGGCCGAGGCGTCAGAGATAACAGACGGCTGGCGCGAGTGGCAGGGGCTGATCCTGACCACAGCTAGGAGTGGTTGGATGCCACAAACACACACACGCACGAACACACACACACATACATACATACACACACACACACACACACACACACACACACACACACACACACACACACGGTCCCAGGATTGAAATAATCCCACTGTTCGTTTGAGACACCTCAAGGAAACCCATTATTAGTACCACTAAGACACGTTCCAAAGGCCATTTCATTAGGTACACATGCATCTTTGACAGTGGTGGGAAGTAACGACATCAAAATTATTTTTTCCCCCAACTTCATGAAATTTGTCAGGTAAATGTACTATTTTTCTGGTGACTTTTTACCTGTACTCCCTATATTTGAAAATATCTATCTGTACTTTCAACACACTCTGTCAAACTAGGTCTGTTATTTTTTTCATACGGGAGCGTGTTCTTTTGGTATTTTTTGTTAATCTCTTTTCTTTTTTTTTTCTAATTTGAGTAGAGAAGTTGATTCAGAACTTCTCCTTTTACCAATCCCTTTTTTTTTTTTAAATGAGTATCTGTACTAATTAACTCATTCAGTACCAGCCAATTCTAGACCAAGTCTGAAAAGACGTTTAAAAATGTCTTTGGGAGTGAATGAGTTAAGTGTGATGACTTTTTCCACCTCTGATCTTGAACATGAGTTACACCTAATGAAGTGTCTGTTGAGTGATGGGGACGCTATACCTTGTCTGTCAGCGTTGTGTCCGTGGTAGAGGGTCTGCTGGCTTTGCCGGATGGCGGCGGTCAGCGGCAGGTCGGCATGCATCACCCACTCCTGACTGCCGTTGACCACGGGCTCGGCGGCGCCGGCGTTGGTGGTGGAGGCTAACGAGTGGCGCTTTGGAACGTCTTTCGTCAGCGTGGCGAGAGACTGCTTGGCCTGGTCAAAGGTAGAAGAAACGCGAAGATGCGAATGAACGCTGGATCGTCACTTCTGTGTTTTTGATAATAATCAGACTATCCTAGATGAGAAACATTGCATAGGGAGGATGTCAAATAAAAACAATGACATTTATTTAAAAATAAATAAATATATCAACTTGTGGCCAAATTCAAGCGCTACATCACAAACAAAATCAAATACAATCAAATAAAAATAAGAAAATAATTGTAAAATTAAATCAGATTAAAAAAAATTAAACACAATTAAATGAACACTCAACTGACCCTAAACTAACTCTCCCTGGTGGATGATAAATAACATAACACAATATACATGTAACAATATATAAAATCTAAATACAAAATATAAAATAACAAAAAAAAAAGGAAAATGAAATAATAGGATATAAAATGATTATTATCACACAAAACAGACTAGGTTAAAAATAGTTTTGATTTCTCATTATCATTACTTTTTTTCATTTCATTTTTACATTTTTTTAAATTTAATTCACTTAGTTTTCATTAATTTTTGTGAATTTTTTCTTTTATTTTCATGAACCAAAATTTTTTCATTTTTTATTTTAGTTAGTTTTAGTTAACTTCAATAACCTAGCTCATACTTGTCTGAATTCTTGATACAATTCTTGTATTCGTTCTAATTCGAAACAAGAGCCACAGAATGCATGTAAAATGAGCATTAGCCGAGTTCTCTCACCATGGTGAGCTCAGCCTCCAGCTCCTTGATCCTGTTCTCCTTCATGTCCAGCTGAGAGCGCAGGATGTTGGCCTGCTCCGTGGCCTCTTTGGTCTGTCGCCTCAGGTCCCACTTCTCTCTCTCCAGCACGTCCTTCTCCTTGGCCAGCAACTTCACTGCATCCTCGCTCTCCTGCAACAACAAAAGCGTTGGATGCTCGCTGTGAAGCTCTGATGGCGGGCCGCCGCTTTTACTAAGCGAGGTGGCTAAACTGGTGTGAATTTCCATCCATCCATTTTCTGACCCGCTTATCCTCACAAGGGTCACGGAACGTGCTGGAGCCTATCCCAGCTGTCTTCGAGCAGTTGGCGGGGGACCACACCCAGAACCGGTTGCCAGCCAATCGCAGAGCACACACAGACAAACAACCATTCGCTCACAATCACACCTAGGGACAAGTTGGAGTGCCCAATCAACCTGCCATGCATGTTTTTGAAATGTGGGAGGAAACCGGAGTACCTGGAGAAAACCCACGCAGGCCCATGAAGAACATGCAAACTCCACAGTGGAAGGCCGGAGCCAGAATCAAACTCATTCAATATAAATCCATAATTTTCACCCAAATCAATGCACATCATTCCATACCATTCAATATCATGCCACATTATTCACAATCATATTGTAAATTTTCAATATAATTGATGATCATTCCATATGAGTCCATTTCATTCAATACCATTTCACTTGATTCAATTTTTTTTTTCCATTCACCATTCCAGCATTCACACGCAATTTCTCCAGAAATGGCATTTTCCAGTCAAGCAAAGCGATACCTTTCTGTGCTGATCGTAGTTGCGTATGAATTCTCGGAGCTGGTCCTCTCGGCTCTCCAGTGTTGTGTATAGCTGCTGCATCTGACTCACCAAGTCGCCCTTCTCCCCTTTTAGACGTTTACGGTCGGCTTTCATGGCTGCAACGTTCAAGGAGTTATTATCAGCTTTGTGATCGGTAACTGAACCGCATGCACACGAATAAACTTATTGTAAAACGAAAAGCTCTCAAATCAAATGTGAGCATTATTACCGTTAAAGCTGTTTTTTTTTTTTGGATACAGCCCTCAAAATGGATCTCATTAGGTATAATGGAATCAATTGAAATGACATTGGCAGGCATTAAGGTTGCATTAAAAGATTTTCTCCAAGCATAAACTTGATTAAAAACCAACGTAATGGCAACATTCAGATTACTTGACATAATTATCTCAGTATCAAACTAGGGATGTCCCGATCATGATTTTTTTGGCACCCAAATCAGAGTCTGACTCTTCGGTTTTAAGTATCTGCTGAATGCCTCGTGTGTGTGTGTGTGTGTGTGTGTGTGTGTGTGTGTGTGTGTGTTACATGGAGCATTTTCACCAAATCAGTGCGGAGTGCTATTTGTAATACAGTACTCTCAAAATAAACTCAAACGTATATATTTTGCCTTACTTTAATTTTTTAAAATATATTTTTTCCTCTTTTGTTAAGCAAGGAATTTGATGATGCCCATTTTCAACATTTCACTGTGCATTGGTTAAACTCAGAATTTGTTATATCTTGTTAGTTTAGCTTTTTTTATACTGAAACACTTAAGTTAACAAATACAGGCACTCAAGCCAATGACATTTACACTACCGTAATTGAATGTTAAACACATTACATATTCATGTGCAGGACGCTTTATAAAAATGGATTTTCATGTAATTGCCTGGCAACGCAAATGGCACCAATTTGGTTGGATAGCATTACCATCGAAGATTTGGAAATGGTAAACAATACATTTTCACGTATTCACTCATCTCAGGAGATGAGTGAATAAACCTTTGAAACTGAACTTTAATAAGGCATATTATGGCTTCCTTTGGGGCTGGAGTGGTACAGAATCACCCAGCACATCATTAGTCTCCGACAAAATTATTGCGATGGACATTTTAGACATTTATAGGCTTGTGCGGCCCAAAATGACGAGTGAGTCCACACGGTGATTTAGTTGTTGGGTACGTGTGACTTCTCTTATCACGAAACGATGCTATTGATTCATGACTTCGTTAAATGCAACCAGTGGAGAACAAGCTTGTTTGTCACCAAATAATTTACTTTTCGATCGGAAGTTATGTCGATTGGATGTGTCACAATTGCTCACCTGTCTATCGCACTCTCTCGGCTCTCTAAACTCTTTGATGATGCCATTTTGCGAGGAGGCTTCTTTATGTCAGGCAAGGTAGTTATTAAGGAGCATCTTTCTGTTTGCTTCTCCCTCCAAAAAAGCTATGAAGACAAAACCCACCACTCTGTCTCTGCCTGCAGGAGAGCTGTACACCGCGGGGGAGATGTGTCTGTGGGTGTGTGACTGCATCAGTATTTCAAAAAAAAAAAGAAAAAAAAAAAGGAACATTGTGAACTATAAAACTAAGCTACTGCTGTTCTATTTGTCCATTTGGATTGTTGTGACAGAAAACCAAATTTTTTCACCAGCTGAAAATCACGCCATCGACCCCGATTTCTGATCACGTGATCAGATCAGGATATATTGGTATATCAAACAGTGACATTATTGTTGAAACATTTATCCTTCTATTCCGCCATTTTCTATAGCACTTCTTTAGAGTTATAGGTGAGCTGCAGCCTATCCCAGCGAAAGACGCAGAAAACGCCTTGGACTCACTCCATTGGACAATGTTTGAAATGTCAATAAACTTAAAATCCACCCTAGACTAGTCATTAGCCAATCGCAGGGCATATACCAAACACGCATTAATACTCTCGTTCATATCTATGAACACTTCAGACAATGAAAACATTTATGTTCAGTAGACAGTACTATGAAACTATTGTGGGAAGCAGATTTGTAGACTAGTGTCCAACCGAATTTATGAGGTTCTCGGTTTGAATCTCCTTCACGCGTACATGTTCGGTTCACTGAAACCGGTCGATGAGTGTGGATGTGAGTGTGTGCTGCTTGTCTCGATGTGGCTGGTCGAACAGTCCAGGGTTTATCTCAGTACCTTCATCAGAGAGCCACAAGGGGGCACTGTAAACAAGCTGCTGCAGCGGTAACTGAGAGGTGAACATGTGAGAAGATTCAGTAAATGAGCACTCGGACATGAAACTATTTCCCCTCGCAATTCTCTGACATGGAAACCACCTTCACCGCACGTGTCGCGCACTCGCCGCCCGCCCGGCATTCCTGCTGTCAACGCTCGCGTCCCATTCATATTTGACACTCCGCATTCCAAACCTGTTTCGTGATTATTATACAACACCTCTGACGGCTCATCGTCGAGTGACATCAACACTGTTGCCTAACAAAATCGAAACTCTGCTAAAAGCGGGCAGCAGCTTCAGTGTTGCATAATGCATCATCTTAGAAAACAATGCAGGATAATTGGTGCATCATACCAGTCTGTATCAATACTGCATTCATATTTCAAAGCAAGATGTCGTTGTCTAACAACAACAAACCAAATTAATTGAAAGTAAAAAGCAAATATCCCTTCTTGTAGCACATCTTCACAGTAAAGACCTCTGCACACAATTGAACTGAATAAATATACTGAATACTAAAAATCGTCCATCAAGTCAAAATAGATGGATGCTCAGTCAAGCATAGGCACAAGCGGAACACAACACTAATAGAAACATTCCATAGAAAGAAAAACATTCCAAAAAGCAGCAGAGTTTTTTTTAATGTCGCGCCCCACCTTGGTCCTATGTTTTGCACTGAATCGGAGCAGATATTGATGTACATTTGATTAGATTCTCTGGTTCACAATTTGTGCAGCACAGACCGGAAAGAAACCAAACAACTTTATTCTTCTTTAATTGAATACTATAAATCTAAAAATGTATATACTGTACAATGCTACCCTGAGATCTGAGTTTAATTTGCTCTGTGACCACCCTTCGTCACGTAAAACATTCCTACTGAATTTCAAATCATCTTTCCCCTTTAGAATGAATGCAAATGCTATGGATCCATTGAAGAATTCCCCCCTTCAAAAACATTTTTGTCGTGTGTTTTTACCAAGCAAAATGGCACTCTATGATATTATATTTCATAAAAGCACAGAGTAATACTATAATTAAGAAGAATGTAAAATAATTAAACACATTGTGCATCCTGATGTGGAATACTTTAATTCAATTTGCTGCTCCTTATATTATGTGCGCTTTGGCCACTAGGGGCAGTACAATACAGTCATACTGACAAACCAGGAAGAATTTCTCTTTATTCACACTGTCACCATTCTCAGTGACTCATTAAGCTGCAATGATGTTAGTCTTTTTTTTCTGCAGAGGATAAAGAATATATGCCTGTGAGTATTGTCTATTTACATGTGTTGCTTCACCGATTGTGTTCCAACATTCCTTGCTGAAAGGCTTGCAATACCGCAGCTATTAATGCTAATCGTTGGTATGTAAATAGCGTACGTTTGCATTAAGATAGCAGAGCCTTTCTTTTCGGCAGTTGGTTGGGCGATTTAAATACACGTGATGCCATTCTCTTGTTTTGCTCGGTTGGATAGTAAATGTCAATTGGCATTGCCATTTAACAGCTTTTTTTTTGCTTTTGCTTTTTGTTTTTTTTTTTTCCTTCAAAACAACTGTTTTCTATTTGCCAGAGTAAGTGATTGACACCAACCTGTACCAGAGAAATAAATAGAACTAAAAATATCCACAGTCAACGACTACTCAGTCAGTATGTGTCATAACATCAATGCCATCACTCCTCCCGTCAAGTTACTCATGATAACCATCACCTTGCAAAACACAAACAGAAAGCTCGACTGGAAATAGGGGATCTGACCTTGTAAGGCCTCCTTCGCGCGGTCCAGCTCCTGTTCCTTGTCGCCCAGCTGTACGTGGAGCTCGGCTGCGGAGAGCAGACCTGCGGTTCCTCCTGCCTGTGACTCCTCCTGCAGGTCTTTGCCCAGCATGTCCTTCATTTGCCGCAGGAGGTGCACCTCCTCCTGAAGCTGGGCTACCTCCTCGTGCAACAACACTGTGGAAAAACATAAGACGGGAGATGAGTGCATAAGGCTTTGAAATTTAACTTTAATAAGGCACATTATTGCCTCCTTACAGAATAACCCAACATATCATTAGTCTTTGATAAAATTACAATAATCCCTTGCTATAATAGTTTGTCTTTCATCACTTCGCTGTTTCACAGGTTTTTTTTTTTTTTTGGTGCCGTTTTTTTTTTAAGTGCATTGTATCCTGTATCCTGATTGGCTAAGGGACTCTAGACTAATGTGAACAGTCTTATCGCTGTCCACCTAGCTTGCTAGCTAGATACACAGGCCAAGTTCATCCCCTAGTGCTGAACGCTTTATGGACGGAGGGGGGGGGGGAGAGAGAGAGAGAGAGAGAGAGAGAGCGAGAGAGAGAGAGAGAGAGAGATAGTTAGCTAGCTCGCTAGCTAGATATGCTCGCTAGCTAGATACACAGGCCAGGTTCATCCTCGAGTGCTGAATGCTTTCCTCAGAAATCAAACACCCTCCCAGCCCTCAAGGAAAACAGTCAGCAAACAGGAATGGCAGGACACAGGACTTGGTGGGCATGTTTGACAAGATGGGGGGACAAACAAAAAAAACTGATGACTTGTACTTTATATTGACAATAAGTTATGCCGACCATCCATTCATTCATTCCACCACCAAATTGGGCTGGTTTGCTCGATGAAATTCAAAGTCCCCCCACGACCACAAACTACTACAGTCGATGGATGTTGGATGGATTTACAGTGGGCTATTTTCCAAGTGCAGCTGCAGAAGTTCTCAGAGTAAAACTTCTCAAATGGTTTGCGAATACTTGAGGCGAAACCACACACAAAAAAGTGCAAGCAGGAAGTCAGTGTTTAAGTTAGAGGGGCCTGCAGTACGACCACAAAGGTCCGCAGGCACAGGAGCCCTCATGTAGGCCCGCAGGCCAAATCCACTTCCTGATCTGTTTACCTTTATTTGCTGAGGGGAGCCCAGCTGCTGTATTTAATGCGCGTGTGCAGCTTTTACATTCAAAATAGACTGTTTAAAGTCAAGTGGATAAAATGAAATTGAATAAAATGAAATACAATCAAACAACATTGAAGAAAATAAATTACAAGAAAATAAAAATGGAGGACTGCCGCTAGTTATACATGAGCAACGTAGCGCACAGACCATCTTGTAAATGACCTGTATCTGCACCCATAGGAAAGTGGGTTACAACAAATTTGAGAAAAGCAATAATATTATACATGGAGTTGTGTCATGAGACAAGAGCGACACGATAAACGAGTTTTTCGAGACGTACACAGTTTTTGACTTTGACATGTGAGCAAAAATGTAAGATACAAGCACTTTATAATGGCAACGTATTGAATTCCCTTCAAAACAAGTCACAGTTTGGCAGACAGTAAACAATTCTTCTTAAAAAAACAATGAGGCTTCAATCTGTTTATTGCCACTCCCGGTTGAAGTGTACTCCAAATGAAACACAAAATGAAAATAATTCTGAGTAGTTTATCTAAAACAACACAACTATTCCTTCAAGTCCAGTTGCCATTGACAGGCTCCCAAATAGCATTGGCGTTCCTGTGTCATAACCCTTTGAGCAATGGATATTTGAATACAAACAGTGGAGCAACACATGTAGACAGACAGAAAAACATTTTCTTTTACCTCGGTGAAGAACAACTATTATTACAGTCGCTCACTGAGTTCTGACCACTGCCTCCATGTATGTTTGTACAATATGGTGCCCAGGTGGCCAAGGCCCGCACACCCGAAGGAGCAGTACAATGTCCATTGGTGTGAATTTAAAAAAAAAAAAAGCATGCTTGTTGGGTTCGGTGGCAGATTTTGCAATTACGCTCATTGGACAGTGCATGACGTCAACATGTCACAAGTTGGAATGAGTCAGATTCGAACCCCTCCCCAGTGAAAACAATGTCATTCCATTCACTGCGGCCTCTCCTCTCTCAATTCAAATGGAGGAAGCCATTTAAACATAATGTTATGAAGTGAGCACACGCCTCTGATCTTCCATCAGGCCGTTAAGCTCCTCCTACCGCAGAACACCAGGCCGCTATGCCTCCCTTTACTTGTTAACTTGCCTGTTCAATTAACCTCTCAGCCTGGCTTCTTATTAAAGTGTCCGTCAAACCACCACTGGCCGGGAGAGGCTATTCCCTCCCTTGCCCTGCGACAAGACCACTACGCACACGCACACTCAAAGGAGAGTGGGCAAAGTGATTGGCTTCAAGAAAAGGCGGGGGCACCATTTTTTATTGTCTGGAAGACAAATCGCGGTGTTGTGCTAGCGTAGGGCGAACTATTGAAGCAGTTGATCAAATTCATGCAGCTGTGCTAAAAAAGTACATTTTCCTACTTTGATGTACTCATGAAAATAAGTTGTAATCGACTTCCACCACGTGATTGAACCATGAAATTGTGCCCATTTAGGTCCCAATGTTTAATACGCGGCTGCTTTGAGATGATGCTGCTGGCTGAAGTGCCGCCACACATAAACACAAATATATTCATACCCCTTTGAACCTTTCCATTTTTTTCCCCACATTGAAACAAAAAACGTTTGAATGCCGATTTTTCCCCTAAATATAACAGGGTGAAACAGAGTATGGCGGTTAATACAGTTGTCATGACTGTACATTTCACTTCTGTATTTGACTTTCTGTCTCTCCAACTTTATTGACTTATTTTCTGGCTGCTGTTGACATTCACTTTACGAATGACCCAATTAAATTGAAATGCATTACAGTGTGGTTGTATGCCCATTTATGTTTTTATAGTTTTCTAGCATAAGTCGTGATAGGAACTCACATTAGAACCATCGAAACAGGTTCCTTTGGACTTAAAAACAGGACATCTATCAACTATTTGAGTCGAATTTGGGGTAATAATGCAAATTCTAGAGAATGTAAATTAGGTGTCTGTCAAAGCTTTAGAGGTGTCACAATTAATCGACAACTATTTCAATTATCGATTAATAGTTTTGGCACATTAACTTAAAATTGACCAAATCCTCAGAATTTCATCTCAACATTAAATATTCCCAGATTTCTTTAGTTCTCCGGGAAGGCAGACCGATTATCCTTGTGTTTGATCAAAATATAACATTTGCAAAATTCTGCATTTATTTTGGGAAAGCCTTATCAAGACGTTTGTATATTTTCGGACATGTGATGGACCAAAACAGTAACTGAATCGCAATCAGTGAATGTTTGTGCATTTTCAATTTGAAACAATGTCCTGAATAAAGGGCTGGAAATTTGTTTATATATTTTATTTGATTTATCAAGAAAATAATTGAAAAATTAATTTTACAAAGCGATAGTTGGTTGATTTAATTGCATGGGCTGACTGCAGTTGTCATACAGTACAAAGCGCATACTGGCAAATTTGAATTATTTGATCAACTGAAAGCCACAGTGAAGGCATTTTACTCTAAGTGGGTTTGTGGCCACAGTTGTATCGTTGTCATTCTTAAGCTGGCCGACTATCTGACAGCCTACTGTAGATATAATTGGACAACAGAGGCAGCTTTGGCTCACAGTGATCATTGCACTGCAGGACTTTGTAGGGAAAGAAGGGCCGCCCGGGCAGGTTTAACGGCTTCAGTCCACCTGAAACAAACGTGCAAGCGTTTCAAAGCAAGGACAGCAACGGCTGTCATTCCTTTGCAAAAAACAAAAAACAAAAAGACCTTGACAGTGTTTCATCCTGTGCGAGCTCCTACTGAGCCGTCTATACAAGTGTGCGAGGCATCAGGGAAAGCAGAAATATAATATTGCAGAGATTTAGGAGTCAAAGCAGTTATAATCGCTGGGATTAGTCTTCTTTTGTCAGTTGCGACGATGATCTGGAACGACAACCTGACAATTTTTTTTTTCGGCATCAGACTTCCTGCGCTAACATCAATCCGTGGCACAATTTTCCCGTAACGAGGTTAAAAATACCTCATCGTAATCCGCCGACATATGGACGGCGACGCCCACTGCATAGTCAAATCCAAACTGCAACAAGCACTAAATACTGTAAGCCAAATGTTCCGCTTGGGTGCAGAACACTGTAAAGGACTAATGCAGCAATTAGCTGATAAGTGTGGGCGCTTCATCAGACAAATGGGAAAAAAGTCTTTGAAATTACATTGATAAGGGAAATCACTGCAAGGATGGAGCAGAGCAACAGTCTCCTCTTTTTCCTTCTCTGAGGAATTGTGACATAGAGTGTGCTACATCCCGTAATTGGGATGAATTCGAGCCTTCACCCGCCCCTTCCAATCATAGATCATCCTGAGGGATTATCCTGTGGTGTGTTACGAGTGATTTTTTTTTTTCTTCTCAACCACCTGCGCAGCAAAATAAACCTGCTTGTGAGAAGCCTAAAATTTGACTCTACTTTTTGTAATCAAATTTGCAGATGCGCTGGGGGCGGCAAAGCAGATCCGCCCACTGAGGCATAACAGGTCTACCAAATTCAAAAACACACTGAATTAGTCCTTTGCCTCGACAAGAAGATGACAAAGCGCCCGTTCTGCTACCAAATTGTCAGATGACTCAGGGTCAAGGGAACTCCGTGCGCCGAAACGCCCAAATGGGCACAACATGGCCCCAAACACGCTAGACTAGACTTGCGCTGGCATGAAAATGAAGCGATGCCCGTTCTGACATGGAGTGCACAAATGCCAGTTGAGCCAAAATAGAGCCCCAGGTTTGACTCAAGATTGTCGGTGGCGACAAGTTGTGCATGTAATACAGTAAGAACATACTTATACGAGCCTATTTTTTTTCCTCCTCGTTGTGCGGTCTCTCACATTTTTAAAAATTGGTTGATGTTAAGAATCAGTATGTATGGACCCAGCATTATCTAGCGTGTGCGCCGGTGTGTGCAGCTGGCTATTTCTGCACTCCATTACGAGAGGATCACTGGTCCAGTGAGCTTTGCCCTCCATCTAATTACGGTGTCAAGATCAGACTCATGGGCTCTTGATTAAACATCG